ACCCCACCCACACCCTCTTATCGTAGAAACCTGACTCAAACTCATTCGATATAATAAAGTAATTTGACGATTAAAATCGATGAAAGAGTAAGAATAAATAGTCTCGAATAGCGAAATCGACCATTAAGGAAAGATATATCCATGCCTCTTAGATCTACGAATGTCACACTCTTTAAATCTTCATTTTTTCTTTCGAATATCATTTCATTTTAGCCTTTACAATTCTTAACCGTCATTGTTGATAATGTTCGTAATGAAGCTGATAAATGGAATCGTCTTTCACGACAGATTCTTGATGATCTTCTTGTTTATCTACAATAAAATATACCTATCGGATATTCCAACCTTTCTTTTTATTTCATTCTAATCAATATTCAACAGTTAATTCTCGTTCTTCTCATACGAATCAATCAATATTAGATATTTATTCGACACAATTAACCTTATTCAATAGTCTTTCACTAGTAGTTTGACGTCCGATCGATCCATTGATCGTCACTTTTCGAACTTTTCCTAATCGAAATGTAACTTATTGATCATTCGAACTATTCCGATAGTTATCATTGTTAAATAGATTTCTGATTGTCCAACTATCCGTCGATGGTTAATGCATATCAATATTATTCTTTGATGTTTGAGAGATGCTCAAATCAATAGAAGTCAAAGACGATATGAAAGCTTTACTGCACACTGAAAAAAATGAGCGCAGAATAATAAACCATTCAAATGGATTTCTGAGGTTAATAAACCCTTTGATATACGTTTTTTTGATTTATTAATATCATAAACCATTTCATATACCCTTTCAGTTGATAAACCCAAGAAGAGTATTTCACCCGCTGCACTTTGATAAACCCTTTAGGGTATATCAGCAGTAATATACCCTTAAAAAGTTTATTAACTTGATAAACTCTTCTGAAAAGGGTTCATTCAGGTACTCTTTAGAAGAAACCGTAGAATAAAATAAACCTTTTCTGAAGAGTTTATCAAGTTAATAAACTTTTTAAGGGTATATTACTGCTGATATACCCTAAAGGGTTTATCAAAGTGCAACGGGTGAAATACCCTTCTTGGATTTATCAACTGAAAGGGTATATGGAATGGTTTATGGTATTAATAAATCAAAAAAACGTATATCAAAGGGTTTATTATTCTGGGTATACGCACACTTGCCCGCAGAACACTTGCCCGCCGGACAGAAGCCAGCGGGACAGTTGCTCGTAGGACACTTG